AGCAGCCTAGGGAAGGAACAAACACTGCTGTCAGCATGCTGTGGAGGCTTGGCACTGTCATTACTCTACCACGTAGGTTGGGTGTGTTGCCACGCCTCCTTGTGCCATCTTGTCCTCCCCCCATAGGCAGTCGATATATCTCGCTGTGCCGAAGAAGGAAAGAGGAGGTGCCGAAGAACGGACGGCCACTCGGGTGGACACAGCCACGATAGGAAAGCACGAGGAAACAAAAAGGGAAAGCAAAGTGCGTGGTTCGCAGAGCAAGTATGCTACCATCTTCTTCCCCCGAATAGAATGTACATTCGAAGTCCTTTCGAGGACAAAATGCAGTCTACACACAGCAATAGTGAATCTACATTCTATTTAGCGGGAAGACAGTAGGCGCCTGGCTTCTCGCAGCCAACACAATGCCCGCTCGTTTGCAGAAAAAGATTTTTTTTCAGGGTCTCCCACCACCACGGCCAAATCGCAAAAGCTTGGGGAATTACCTATTTGGGTGGAGTCTTGGAGATTGTCTTCACAGACTCTGAGATAACAATATCCGCAGGAATCGCACTTTTGAGGTCCTGTGTGGGATGCCTTCAGGTGATCATGGTAGAAGAACCCAGGTTTGTAAGCCTTACAAGCCAGTTACATAACCCACTTGTGGTCCTCCTAGGTGAACCCTTGTCAGCTTTTTCAATTCGGTAAGGTATCCAGAGAGTGCACTTGAGGTGGTGGAGGATCGTGGAAACAACATGCTGGGCCTCTCTCTCTCTCTCTCTCACACACACACACACACACACACACACACGCACACACACACACACAATGTTGCTGTGTGAACGCGATGCACGTGTTCAAATGCGTTTAAACACACCACATGGCGGCAAGCGGGGAAAAAATGAGTGCACGCGTGGTAGCTAGGCGTGCGGCATGGGGGCTACGTGGGGGCATGCTCTGTTCAGGCGCTTTTGGGGGGCTGGGAGTGTCTGATTTTTTTGTTCGGTTTTTTTTTTTTTTTTTTTTTTTTTTGGACCATTTCTTGATTTATGTGTGTCATCCTTGCACAGGGGCCATACTAATCTTCTCTGTATCCTTCTAATTTTAACGGATGTCCCGAAGGACTCTCGTTTCGTTTTCGTTTTCGTTTTCATTTTCGTTTTCATTTTCGTTTCCGTTTTCTCTTCGTTTTCGTTTTCGTTTTCGTTTTCGTTTCGTGTGCCGTGTGGCAAGGCCCCTGCCTGGAGTGTGCAGTTATTTCCACGAATTCTGAACTCTGCACCCGTCACAGTCACAGGTGCAGTTGTCTTCCGTTTTTTTTTTTTTAACGTCTGTTGCCTGTCAACTACTCAGAGGTGATAAGAGCACCCCGGGGGCGTGGTCCCACTAGCAAAAAGGATCGGATCGAATGCCTGAATCTGGACGAGTTTATGGAGAGGTGCAGGAAATTGAGATTGAACGGCACGGCTTTTCTGCATCTCTGCATAAAAACATTCAGATTCAGGACTCTTGATCCTATCCTCTTCGCTAGTGGGACCTCGGCCATGGTGTTGGAGGCCACCACTAGATGGCTCCGGTCTATATTTCGTGGTTTCCAGCACGGTTTTCTGAGTACACTCGGGATAGAATTGTGAGGTCAACGGCCTCGACCACAGACCTTCGCATGTTAATATAAAGTGACAACTTCTCAAAAAAAAAAAAAAAAAAGATCGGCTCCAGCGTCCCTGTGAGAAAAGTATAGTGTGAGGATTTTACCCCTAGGCATACCTGCATAAGGCCCCTGCAGCGAGTACGTGCCCGCCCTAAGTGAAGGCGGGCCCCTGAATCACAATGCGCCCTGAACCTGTCAATTTCGCAAAGTCTAGGTGGGCGGCAGACAATTAATTACCACGCCCCAGTTGGTTACATCCGCCTTGCTTGTGAGAATCAGAAATATTCCTGAGCCTTCTAGGCTCTTCCAGCAGTGCGCGAAATTGCAGGGGACACGGCCGCACGTTTACACGCGTGCGTCCAAGGCCAGAGGGACGTGAGCCTACCTGCTTTTCATTTAGGCAAGGGGAAGACAGCGGCAGTATATTCGGGCATGAGGGTGCAGGGCGGCAGCGCTGCTTGAGCAATTGCTCTCGGCCCTGCTGGCGCCGGGTGCTGGTCAGTGCGCGCGGGCTGTGGTAAGAGAGCGAGGCCACTGCTATCAGGCAGCGCCATAGCCCAGCCTCCATAGTCAGGCTGGGGCTTGGGCGGTCAGTGGGGGTTGACCAGCATGCGGGGGGTGGTAAGAGAGCGAGGCCACCGCTAGCCTCCATAGTCAGGCTGGGGCTTGGGCGGTCAGCGGGGGTTGGCGGTGGTCCTTGGAAGGAGGTAAGACGTGGGTGATGAAGTCGAGGGTGAGCAGGGCAGGGCGAGAGTAGAGAGGTGATTTGACGGCACAGATTTGGTATTGGCCGCTGTCCACATGGCCGCGACATCTGCATGTACTTCGGTTGCTGCTGCTGATGTCAACGGGGGTTGTTTCATCATTTGTAGGCTGGTAGAAGTGCTGTGTGATCACAGTCTGGGCGCTGAGCGCCACGTAGAAGGAAGAGCTTCTATTGCACTGCTGGTGGTGGCGAGAATTGAGTTCGATTCCAGGACACCCACGGCCTACTGCTCCAGATGATCACTGTGTACACAGTGACTGGCCTCTACAACACCATGGACTTCAAAAACAAAAAAAAACAAAAAAAAACAAAAAAAAAAGACAATTGAGATGCCTTGGTTCTCGTTCGCTATCTCATCAGTACATTTCAGCTTTTTTTTTTCTTTTTCTTTTTTTCCAGACATGGTGCTCCATCTATTGGTGGGGAGCGTCACCTGCTCGAATCCGCGTCCGGCATCCCATAGATACATCTTTTTTGAAACCTTAAGCATGAACCATCAAAAAACAGAAAAAAAAAAGAAAAAAAGAAAAAAAAAGCATGAACCATCAAAACAGATCATCGTGCTGAAAACGGGGTCCAGCTTTCTGGACAGCAATCTGGAATTCTGTACTTCTCTATAGATTGCTCATTTTTCTTGCAATAGTGTACATGGATAAGAAGGACAAGGATGGATGGTATGCAATCTTTCCAAGGGGTAGTTTTGCAAGCTGGAATCGATCTGGCAAGTCTACAAAACGTAAAGCCCAGCCCATGCCGTTGTGTGATGGCATGCAATCTTCTGAACGGCTATATTCGTTCATGCAAGGATGGCATCACCGTCACCATCATCATCACTATCATCATAGTGATTTTCCATCACATTGCCATTCATCATCCATTATATGCTTCACAAATCATGGGGTCCAATCCTTGTTTACTTCCCTATCTCTTATTCTCATAACCTGGCCTGAAAGTGTACCCTCGACAGAAAAACAAAGAAAAAACTCGATCCCCGTCCTTTTTTTTTGGGACCAAAGCTCCAATCCGTTCGTGGGACTACCAGTAGTGAAGTTGCATATTTGACGGTTTTTCCTTTTTTTTTTTTTTTTTTTCATGTTACTCAAGAGCTCTGTTCTGCCACATTTGACTTCTGATCTGAAGATTCTGAAGTGAAAAAAAAGGCAGTCGTTTGTTCCTTAGCCGAAGCGGGGTAATGGCCCCGGGTTCTGGATTTTTTCATGAGGGAAGCAGAGCCAGGTTGCCAACACGGGTCGCTCCCCACGAATATAGATTGGAGCATGTGTTTGTTAAAACAAAAAAAAAGGGAAAAAGAAAAAAGGAACTCCCCTGCATGTTGTTTATGGCACAGTCATGCGAGGACTTTCAGACCGAATCTGACGGTCATCTTACTCCGGTGCATCCTTTGAAATCTGGGTGTGCTGAGTAACCCCCCCCCCCCCCCCCC